ATCTTTAGTCATTTTATCAAAATTTGACGAAGCAGAGAAATGTTGATTAAGTAAGTCTAAGTTTACATTATTGGAAATGGAATCGTTAACAGATTTGTTAAAGATAATGTTTCTGTTTGGTAACTATTCGAGTCAAATGACGTATATATAGTAAAGAGATTAATAATTAAATAAGTTTTGTATGGCGGTTACTGGTTACCGTTTAAAAAACCGACTAAATACAAAACTTTGCCATCTCTATACATTACACATATAACTTTGCATTACATAACAGTTGTTATTTATTATACTACTACGTACATACGTCAGTCTCTTAATTCAAAATATTAACTTTATTTGCGTTAAACCCTTGTTAAAATGATAAACAAAAGCAATAGGTAGGTAAGTGACTCTTATTGTCCAACAGTTCTTACAATGTAAGTTTGTACAAATGATTGCTTAGATATTATTTCAGAAGCGTAACGAATTATTACTATCTCGTTAACGAGTATTATGTCTCGCGGCCGATGAAGGCAAGCATTGTTCGTGACATATGTACCAGATAGCACATCTGTAGTGCATATTCAGACGCGCCTTTTGTTCCAAGCCTGACCATGTGGCTCGCGGAAGGAACGCGCTGGTTTTTGTCACATTTTTTCAATACCTAAACGAAAACTTCTTAAGAATTACATCAGATTTGTAAGTACATGGGACAGTTATAAAATATCCTGTCCCTGCTCGGTAGCAGTGACAGGATATTATATCAGACATACATACGGGATAGATCGGAAATTGTAATCGGTGCATAAGCTGACTTCACCGTAACAAAATACCTAATGGTTCAGTGAGATCCTTCCAAAAAATTCCACGTGAACAGTAATGAAAATTATCATTTGATATGAAGGAAACATCTTAAAACTGGCTGGCTGGCTAAACTGGCTTCTAGGTTTACATCTCATACACTAGATGCATCACATAGTATGTAGAAATAATGCCGCAGTTATTTCCAATAAACTTAATTTTATCAAAAAGCAGGTATACTTACTTGTAGTGCCTAGTAAAATCAGAAATATTCAAGGAGATATTATTATCATTTGATTATATTTACCGAGGATCATCGTAATGCCGGTGGTGTATTGCAAATGCGTAGTGTCGTCGGTGGCACCACGTGGTAGTGTTAGTTGAAGAGTTGCCAACGATCGCTTACACGGTGCCACTTCCTGTTTACCCGCCGTCTCTGTTCAACACTAGATACGCTTATATGCTTCCACGGACTTTAGTGGATTTACCCAAATGCTGTTTACGTCACAATTGGGAAACAGGCGTGTTTTAATGTATCATGAATTGGAAACTATGTCCTACTCTCCTGTTATTCGATATGTATGTGTGTTCAATTTGATTCGTTAACAGTGTTTAAAAAATGTACCAGGTGTTTTAGCGGTCTTTTCAGATTAATTTAAAGTCATCTTTACAATTCATAGTTCTTGTCTGCTTCTTTCTATAGCCAGACCATACTCTTTTTGCATATATTATGTAGATAGGAGAACAATATAAGAACGAAAATGAAAATAAAGACTGAAAAAGAAAAGCTAAAGAGTAGCGGGGCAGAACACAAAGTCTATTATGGCGTGACATGCTGTATGAAGGAACCCACTCAAATTAAAACCCTTTTTCACTGTCTGCAGTCAATGGGTTGTTAAAATTAGCGTATGTAAAGAACCTACCTAAAAAAATCCAAATTCACAAACGCCCGATGGACACAAACACAGAAATAAGCCTCTAACCATAGTTAGTCATGAATGTTTACTTTAGTAATAATTTTATTAAAATTCATTTCTTGACTTAGGTAGCTCATATCCTTTAAATGTCCCCAATAACTTATTTGACATTGCCCAACTTGGCACGTATCAAATATATCAAAAACTTATTGTAGAATCGAGAGTTCCGCGTAAGGCGTGGCCTTGATAGATTTTGACTAAATATTTTTTCTCGTTCTCGTGTAGCGTACACAGATAACACATTGTGTCACCTTATCAAAGCTACCAATAACGACTGAATTATACTTGAGAATTTGACAATATTATTAAATAGTAGTTTTTAACAGCTCGGTGTGTAGATAAATATAAATATTAGTATTGTATTCGACGAATATGTTTAATTTCAGTCGCAATTCGTTTTATCATTTAAATTCAAGAAACTTTCATTCCTATCTTTTGACTTAAAAAAACAACTGCATAAGATAACACTAATCTTAGTTTACCAACTATGTTATATAAAGTTTCGAATGAAGTGAGTAGTGGTTATGTTGAGTTGAGCGTCACATCTGTACTCTCGCCTCTACCACATTCAAGCGCGGGATAGGCTTAACGGAGGACGCAATTATGATGATTAAATGAAACTGGTTCTTCGGCGACCGCTCCGTTGCCTGGATGTCAATGTAGAATACATTCTACACCTACCTTTACTTATTATTGAATGTATTACAGAACGTTCCTAACTCTCAGATTATTACATATAATATGGATTTGGGGTTCTAACTTTGTAATATATTATACAATGAGAAGGTCACCATTTAATCAGAAAGAGTTGGCTATACCCAAGTACATTAGCTGTTTAATTATTTAAAATCATGTACTTATAGATCGGAAATTGTAATCGGTGCATAAGCTGACTTCACCGTAACAAAATACCTAATGGTCCAGTGAGATCTTTCCAAAAAATTCCACGTGAACAGAAATGAAAATTATCATTTGATATAAAGGAAATATCTTAAAATTGATATTGCCTCTCACGACATTAGAATTGATTTAATATCTGAGAAGCGAATGTAGGTGATTGCCACTCAGATCCTGTACAACTTTCGACATCCGTGACCGCGAGTTTGATAGTTCAGTATCATAGTTTCTCTCGCTAAAACAAGATAAGCGGGGATGTCTCGCACATTAGCTTACTTGCAGCCTTTTAGTATTCTATAGACACATATACTACATAAAGTTAGTCTAGTTACCCTGCATAAGAATGAATTATGTGTACCTACCGATCTAGGCAAAATCCTGACACAATTCATTTTCAAATTCGTTCTGTTGAAAAAAAAATCATTTTAGACGGAAATTAAATAAACTTTAACAGAGAAGATAGCAGAAGCGGGTGCTTCAAAGGGATATAAATACTCCACGGCGCGGCGCCTGTCCACGACAACATACGGAACTCTTCATCTTGACAGCCGATCTTGCAGTAAGATAGACGATGTAATAGGCAGTCAGTCGTCCTGCTATCTTTAAGTTCTAATCTCAAATGTTCGATTAACCGTAAGGATGGATCCCATGGATTATGGGATCATTCAATTCAACTGTCGAACCTTCAGTTGTGAAGTTATAGGATGTCATTAGGCAAATAAGGACGTCTGTGTTTTGCTACATAACTGACATAAACTTTGATTTATTACATTATCATATCTAACACCCTTGAAGTTTTTTTCATGTCAATAGTACACACAATCTACGCGTTGTGTGCGGTATTGTGACCTTCAGGTAAGCTTTGATATGAAACTTTGCTACATCAGCTTAGTCTGACGATTGACACAACTATTTGTGTATGTTGATTGTGCATCAATGGAATCGGAATATTTATGATTAATGTAGGATAGAAAATTCTTAAGCTGGCGGATGTTAATTCTCAAAGCAATTATTACTTACTAAAGCGAGCAATTTTAACTCTCTAGCGAGCGTTTGATCATTTTCCAAGCAACAAATGTCCGCTTTCAAAGCTAGTAAATACTAGGTTATAAGTCCGATATAATATAATTGTAGTTCTATATAGGATAGACACCTATTCACTTTGGACACTTTGGTTCCATCCGTTCTTATAAGAATTATTTATCTGTAAAGTAATATTCTCGATAGACCGAGTGGGCGGTGGAGAACGTGGATATTTCGGGCCATTATCACGCACCCACGTTTTGCTATTGGCAGAAAAATGTTACAAAAATACACCGTAGCAAATTACAGTATGTCTTACACGGGGTCAGCTATTGACATTGATACCATCTTTCATCGTCTCTGCAGTAGGCAAAAAAGGGCTACTTCTTGTTTTTTATAGTGTTGATGAGCAAATATACTTGGTTTAGATTCGGGCAAGTTGCTTTTTGATGTGATGCTTTTTAATGTCGTAGATTTGTTTTAATATTAAGTGTTATCTGTACCCCTTATCATTATTACTGAGAACCGAGAGACAGACGTAATGGAAGATATGTGTTCCAGAGCAGTGTGTTCTCTAGCTCGTTTCCGGTGGTTGTTTACAAAAAAATATAATATAAACTCTTGTCCAAAGCGGCTATACGAACCGGCCGGCCGAGATACTTGCTACGATTAAAAATCGTTACAACTTCCGTTCGGGTCCGAGACGCTGAGCGAAGCTCCAGATAAATAAAAAAAAAATAAAGATCGATACGGTGGAACGGCGCTACCTGTTTTTTCACTGTGTTTAGCTTGCGGCTATCGAGCTTTCCTTAAATATACCACAAGCGTCCACAAAGGTCCACAAGCTTGTCATGATTGCCCTCCTTACTTTAGAAACTACTTATGTAAAAAAATGGGAATGTTGATAAATAAATAAATAAAATAGCATTCAAGAAAGAAAACTGCTAAGTATAATAATATCGGATGAACTTCACGAAGTAGTAGTAATATTACTTATCGATAGAACCAACTTTAGTGGGTTCACCAAAAAGACTACGAGGCAATAATTTTAGTAACAACTGATTAGACAAAAATTAAATCAGATTTCCATACAAAATTATTGACTTAATACACCTTTATCCACTAGTCTAGGAGGAACTCTAATGAAACGATCGATCGATTCCTTTAAAGATTTATAACGCTAAATGATAGCGCCGTCTGAGTGAATTAGCATCACGTGATGTCATGTATCCGGCTGCATCCATAAGAGGGGCTATAAAATCGAACGGGTTAAGCGTTTTACTTCAGTGTAACCGGTAATGGAAAATATCAGATTAATAAAAGATGTCGGTGAGACCAGGCGATATGCACAGCAATTTCACGAGTGCTGCGCCACGATAATTAAGTGTTCGAATGGTGTTTATACGTAGTGTGGTGTGCGTGGGCTCACCACTCCGAGCTCGGCGCTGAGTCGATACGGCGCGCAGTGCGGAGCAGGCATATCAAGTCTGGTAACTATGCGGCGTAACTCCGGTAGCGGCGCAACAGGTCTGTGGCGGGACGCGGCTGCGGGCGCGGGGCGGTAGGAAATCCTTCGCGCACGCACGCACACTACGCGATGTACGCTTGTGTGCACTATCCGGTTTTGCTTACGTGCGAGCAATGTGTACACTCGAACTGCGCCTGTAGTGATCTGTATCGAGTCGATCGATCAATGAGCTCGACATCGACTCGGACTTTTGCCTGCATGCAACTCATTGATTAACGCTATGAACGTGGAATTGTTTATTCATTCATGATGAATATTTTATATCAAATGGACGTTTTTGTTATCCGCATTTTATTCTTGAATTTTTTCCTTATAACAAAACACTACGCGATGTTTTGAGTCCAATGAATGCGCAATGATAGCCACTGTTCCGCTTGGTTTAAAGGTTACAACGGTGAATGGCTCCAATAAGATTATGGTAGAGTAGCTCTATGTATTTTCATTATCAACATTTAGACGATTCACAACACTAATTAATAAACAAAACGCATCTCAAGTCGATTGGAATGCTATTAACGTCTTGACCATAGGCAATTTTAAGTTACGAGCGATTACAGTTCATAATATTCTTACAGATGTTGGACTTGACAGTGCCCACGTAATATGTAGGTGAGTAAGACTTTTAAATATTGTAAGTAAATACTACTGAAGTACAAATAAAAAATCCCATAAATATTCATAATCTAAACGTTTTTTCATGCGAAACCTACCTACTTACATCCACTACCAGGATGACATGAGATTAACGAAGCGTAAGCAAGAATGCGGTATTATGACGTATATCTTCAAGATTCTTAAACAAAAAGTGAACATTCCATTTAAAATAATGTAAACTCTGTAAAACTGAAAATATAATTATGTTTGGCAAAAACAAAAAAAAAGATCACCTTAGTCAAAAAAAAAATTATAAGTAATAATCTAAAATAGTCATATCAGAAATAAAATTCTCAAATAGGCTCAAATTTTGAGGCAAAATGAATGCTGAACGCAATCGTGGGGAGGTCTCATACTTAGTAGCTTGCGGTTCTGGGGCAAAAATGAAAGTCCTAAATCCTTTTTTCCGAAAACTTACTGAGCGACTGTATCACATTTTACTTGCAATAAAATAATTGTTAAGTTAGATTTAATTGAGTTTCTTTTTAATGTTGTAATTCTTTTTTGATGTTGATGGTATAACCATTTATGAACTACTTTTGTTGATGGTATAACCATTTATGAACTACTTTTGTTTTTCTTTATGCCTACTATTTTTATTGCATGATGTGATCTATTGCACCGAACCGCATCCGCACTGTGTCAGGACACAGTGTCAGAACACCTAGACTCAGGACAACAATTTTTGAATCACACAAAGTGTTGTCCCATGTGGGGATCGGACCCACAACACTCAGCGCAGTAGGAAGCGGTGAGGTGACCGCTTAAACCACTACGCCATTCGTGCAGTCAAAGATAGTGCAGTAAAGATGATTAAGAGATTAATTATTTAATAAGAGAGAGAATAAATAAATATACTTTTCCAAGTTATCTAATCCACTAAAATTGTTAGGTAACAAACCAGGGCGTCAAATGTTACTAAACCATACAATTTTCGAACATTAATACTTGTGCTTTTAGCTATAATTATATAATTAATGTTTGCACAGCAATAAATAATATAATCACTTACCATAGTGACAGTAAATGAAATTGGTGATTATTAATTTTTAATTCAAAAATACTTGGAAGAGATCGCGTTACAATGCGCGTTATTTTTAAATGAGATTTTATCTTCTGTGGTTAATGTTGAGGAACACATTACTGATGCAAGGATAAACATAAGACACAGTTTTAATTGAAAATAAAGAAGGTTTTTGAGACAACACACAGGTTTTAGGATAGCGGTGGTACACATATCTATGGCTCAGCGTGGTATATTAGGCTACAACCCTCAGATAACCTGACGCACAATAAGCTATAGCCGTTCTTACCCTTACTTCCGTTTTACCTATATTTCCTTTCATTATTCTATATTTCCTTACATTTTTCCAAATAATTCTTAAAATATTCGGTTGATAGCAATAGGCTCGCCTCTACTACGTAAACGGGACGGGACTAACATTACAGTCGGCAAATCCGTTTAATACGCCTCTACGTACAGATGTATTTACTGTTTATGTACACATATGTAAAATTAATACTTATGTATGTATTAATTTTGTATGTAGGATGTTTATATGAATATACTACAGGGTAGTTGATTGTATCATAAATAAATAACAATGTCCGCTTCATTAAAACAAACATCACACAACGTCTCGGAAAATATAATTATTCTAGCTTTTTATAACTAATATATTTCTAAATACATACATATTCAGCAATATTTTGCTAGTGTACTTATTACGGTGTCTAGAGAACTTAAGCCACTACAGGTGTGGGTTGGAAGTGGTGGCTTGGAATTTGCGACGACGACGCTGCTTGACGCCCAGTGCTCTGGCGCACGAGGCACGTAGGCGGCCGCTGGCCCGTTCGCCCACGACGCCGCACCTAGCCGCGTCGCCGCCAACGTGTAAATCACTAAACTTACACCTCCGACGCATCACTATTTACCACCAGCCACTAGCCTGAGCCGGATTTTATCGGTTCAACCATACACACACAACAATCAAATAGTAAATCTATGGTAGTTTTTGAAAATTCCTTTTAATTCATAACTCGCCATTATTCAATGCAAAAAAACTTATTCTGGTTTAAAAATAGACATAAAAAACTACTTTAAAATTTGCCTGCTAAAACACATCGCATTTGATTATGTCACAATTTGATAAACTTACAGTTCTTCATCATTTAGTAAAAAAAATATAGTTTAAAAAATTCTAAAATAGCTAAAATTTATTTTTGCTTTTTTATTACATGAATGATAATTATTTTCTCACTAAGACTAAAAAAGTAACAATTAAGTAAGTCACATATCCTTCAGACGCCTTTTACTACGTAGCAAGAGACTACTGTATTTGGTGTAGCAAAAAACCGTTAATCCTGAAATTCCTGATCAGGATAATCGACCAAATTTATCAAATTATTGTATGGTCATCGGTCTTTGATAAGTGTACGAAGTTTCAAATTCGACGTTTTGAAGTGAGTCAAAATCACGTTCGAAGATTCCATAATATACATATGTATGTACATACAACATACCAAGCTAATAAAAGCGTGTACAAAATGTAGTTAATAATATAATAATAATAATATTTCGGACATCTGACACACAATGCCATCTAGTTTCTTAATATACATTACATTACATATAATATACTTTACATTACATATAATATACTTTTTTTTTGTAAATACGTACATATTATACATAGAAAACACCCGTTAAACGTACCAGTTAACCGTATCATATCTACTGTTAGATGTCAGCTGTTTCATTGGTTAATGACGTATTGGATTTGGTAGGTAGGCGTTTTTACTTACGTGGAAAGACTTACCATTTAGCCTTTTTCAATTAATTTAATTAAATAATATTTTTAAATTTTTTTTTCAAACCGTTACAGTTAATCATATTATAATGTCATAAGCGTAATTATGCCTGAATATTTTAAGACAGGTCAACAAACAAGATAACGATAGTACATAACAAAAATAATTGGCTTACGCGAAATATCGTAATCAAGTTAAAAGTAAGTTTACCAAATTATATGTAGGTACATACCTTATTTCATGTATGCTATACGTAGTAAAGCAACAATGTTGTATTTTTTTACGTAAATTTCTCGTAAACTGTGTAAAAGATAATCAGTTTATAATTTACCTATTATTGTTTCTCAGAATTCGACGTTAACTGTGGGAACAGAATAAAAGATTTTCGCAAAATTACTTTTAATGATTCCGAATACACTATCATCATCAGAGAGATTCTTTGAAAGGTCGTTATGAATGCCCTCAATCAAAGGATGGTATGTTTCAAATTATGGGCGAATCTGTGTGAATTTGGAAAGAATTTGTACAGTCTTTAGGTTATCTATACAAATAAATATGATTGAAGTGTCTGTTTGTAATGTCAAAATAATAGGTTTTTTTCATGCTCACACGGTTATTTGCACCATGCCTAAAAACTAGACTTGCAACGAATATTCGGTTACTATTCGGTATTCGGCCTATTCGGCTGCTTTTATTATATTCGGCCGAATACCGAATATCTACATATTATTCGGCCGAATACCGAATACTTAAATAATATATTTTGTCGTTGAGAAATAATTGGTAAAATGAAAAATTAAAATCGATTGATTACGTATATATTCATATTTTCATTTCTGTTATAATGATTTAAGTAGTCATTGGTGCATAACACAGGTACATAATCATCTTCTGAATTGGAAAAATGGAGGATTCTATGTATTTGAATTATTGTGGTAATGAAAATTTAGAAGGGTAAGGTTCTCATTTCTTTTATAATCATTTATTAAGTAGTCATTGGTACATAAAACAGGTACATAATTTAATTCACGTCTGTACAAGTTTTTGGCGCTAAAATCCAGCCGAATACTTTTGCCTAATATTCGGCTATTCGGTCAGGGGCCTTGCCGAATATTCGGTATTCGGTATACTGCCGAATATACTATTCGTTGCAAGTCTACTAAAAACCGATTTTGATAATAATTTACTACCAGTTAGCTGTCTATATCCTCATATAGACAGCTACCTGGTAGTAAGTTATTGTCAAAATCGGTTTTTCTGAGAGGAAAATTTGCAAACCCGAGAAATAACCTCATGAACTGCAGTCGCGTTATCAAATTCCACGCTAACGAAGTCGCGGGAACCAGCTAGTTTATAATAATACTAAAAGTTTCCAACTGGTGATATCTATTATTTTAATTAAGGTAGTGTCAGTTGCCCCATATCATAAAAAATGAAAGTAGTTAGGTACTATTCTGAATCGAATCAGTGACACACAACACAGATTTATTTTAAACACATTTCAAATAAAATAATCTGTACATTAATTCATCTCGTTCACAAAGTAACTCTTACGAATATCGGAAGTTGTAATTACACTTAATACCAGGTTCGCAATGGCCTAAGTAGGGTTGGCGAAGAAAGATCCGGCAATAACCTGACTGCAGGGACGTAGTGGTTTAAGCGGTCACCTCGCCGCTTGCTACTACGCTGTGTTTAGGTTCGATCCCCACATGGGACAACACTTTGTGTGATTTAAAAATTGTTGTTCTGAGTCTGGATGTTCTTTGTATCCGTTTCATGTATGTCTGTGAAGTCCCCCGCGACACAGGATGTATTCCTAGTGCGGGGTTTCTTTTTACAAGTAAAAGAATAACCAAGTAACAGTTACTCAGATCAATTCCTAATGGGGATTTTTCATTCATTTTTATTGAGGATCAAAATTTATATACATTAAACTTTAAGGTGTGTAGTAAGCTAGTAAAATACTAGAATAATTTATATAATGACGTCATGATCAGGAAAGTTGCACAATGACAATGGATCAATGAAATAAAGCAAAAAAAGAGAAAACTTAATGATTATGTAGAAAATTGAATCCCGAATTTTGATCTCGTTTTAAAATTTTTAGTTACGATAAATTTCTACATTGCAATATTTAATAAGCACTACAAAGCTAATTTTTTTCATTTCAAAGTTACATTTTAAGCCACACTATTTTCATTTTTAAAGTTGGACAGATAGGACTAGAAATATACTACACGTTGCGACCGATAAACATAATGCAACAAAACGTGTAACTATTGAAACAAGGTTGTGATCTATTTCCTGGGTCATAAAGTTTAGAATTACATGGCGGCATAAGATAGTTAAGGCATACTCAAGGTGGAAAGTGATGTCATTGGCCCTACTGCGTGTGGACGTTCTACTCGCTCTCTGTCAAAGCTACTTTTGCTTTTCGAGTGAGCATTGTCCATTCTGTCCGCATACGGCATAGCTTTGGTGTTTTCTAATCGCGGCTTTAAAAATATACAACGTAAACTTTAATTTCTTTTAACTGAGACGTAAATAAAAAATCATCTGAGATGCCAAATGTATGTACAGTGGTTATGAAAACTTTTGGATAAATTATTACTTTACCGTAAAATTGATTAAACATAAATACACACTAAAGATGAATTAAACAATAAAAATAGCAGTTACGACTTATAAACGGAAATGAGTCTTCTAGAATAATACCTATTAGAAAACACGCCCTAACTAACCTACAACAATACTCGATTTACCAAATACTAAATATTTGTAAATATTTTGTAGTTTGATAAAGTATTTATTTCAATTCTTTTATCTTCATTGGGTTTCTGAAGAGAAATAAAGCAATTTAAACATGAGAAACACCACAGTTTCAGTTCAAGATATCCTAAATTCTGTATAACAATTGTTATCTATATTTTTTAGATTGAATGATTGAAACAAGATGTTGCTGTAAAATGTAATCTCAAAAGGAAGTTTAGGTTAAAACTTTATCAAAGGCCATTACGAACCTACCGTCAATTTAGTACGTCATCAGTGTTAGTTTGACATGCGGGCCGAATGGAGCGGTGTGGCTTCCTGCGTTTGTTGGCCGCTCGATCGCCGGGAGCTGTAATAGTCGTCGCGATGGCAAGCAGCGGAGTGGCACGAAGCGGAGGGCCGGCAAATGACGGACGCGGACGGACGGCCTCACGGAAGGTCGACTGCCTCGTCCGTACCGCGCCACTCACCGCCCCTCCCACCTCACACGACCGCTACGTGGAATTTATATAATTGCCTTCAATTAAAACAAGAATACACGGAATACCATCTTTAATACACAAATATACATGTAGACATTTTCAATTACTTGTATTAGTACGCTTAGTCACTGAACAAATTGTATGAACAATTCGTCAACATTTCGTCAGACGTCAATTAATCCTCTGGCGAAGAATGTTCCCTACTATACCTTCACTACCCATTTTCTTGTCGTACAATAACAGTTTTACGTTATAATATTCAGAAATTGTGTTTGCTATAATCGTCCTCACGTTGAAGTATTATTACGATAGTGAAGTATGTTTGATACGCGATGTAAATTATAGTTTGGCGTGTGTATTAAATAACCGCATGGGATAGGAACGGCTAAGGTCACTGGCGATGAATGTGTGCCATGAATGAACCGAGTCGTGCGCGATACTCGACCATTCAACGAGATCCTTCATTCTAGATTTTGTTATTACGTAATAGTACGTTCTTATTAATCAATGAAATAATAATATTATTGTTAAATAATGTGTCTGTGTGATTTTTGTCTTATCATAATATGTTATGTATGACTAGGTATTATTTTACATTGCCAACTAATCCTAATACATAAATGTAAAGTTATTTTAAACTTTATTACATATATTTTTTGTTAAGGTGTCATAATATTTGTGACAGTCTACATGATTGGTAATATTTTTAATTAATCATCATAATCATAATCATCATTATCACCCTATCGCAGTCCACTGCTGGACATAGACCTATATACATATTATACATTATACCCATCTTTTTCTAGACTTTATGAGGGAAAATAATAAAAAAATATTAAATTTGGCACAACGATAAAACGTTGACCCCTGCTAGTTAACACTTGAATATATTTATCATCGGAGTTGTGATAGCTACTATACTGTACGTATTTTATGCGCGCTGTTGGTAATAATAACGATCTTACAATTAATAGAAACAACCAGAATTATAAATACAATATAACCTTCAATTTTTTTTCTACGGTAGGTATCGGGTACCAACTAGCTAGTGGGTAAATGACTACCGTCACCTTTGAACACATGCCATGCAACTTCAGAGACACTAGTGGCACCCCACAGAATATGAAGAGTTGAGGTGGAAGGTTGCCGTGGTAAGCTAAAACACTCGAAACTTATCTTCAAAGTTGATTGTAAAAAATAAGCCGAAGCACGACGGCTTATGCCGAACGGACGCAAATTATGCGCGGATCACACCAACATTAGTCGTAACGCTCTCATTCACGTTTCTTTTATCTGTAACAAACATCCGGTATTATTTTCAACGCGTCCACTGCGTTAGTACTCCAATATTATCAAACGATTCGACTATACAATACGATAATATATTTAGACAAACAACACACATATAAACGGTTTATTAGTTTTGAAATGAGCAAAGGTAATTACAGATGTTCAAAACAATATTCCGTATCGCTAGTGTACTTAGTCATGCTATTTCGTTATGTACGTAGGTGTAAGTTTACTGGAATCATCGAAATAATACGTTCAATTCATATAGTTATTAAATCTATCTTACACAAACAATACCTGTTATAATCTTTTTGGCACTATGGACATGTTGAACGCCTTAAAACGAATAATATATTAAGGTAGTATGTGATTTAAGTCTTAATACACTGAGTACCTTTGACTCATTATTTTAAAACGACTATTATGAAATTAATGTAGTCTAAAGAGTACGGTAGTCCTTAAAACTTGTTCAATCTGTCCCTTTGTCGAATACGCTTCCTGACGAAGTCAGGATGGCTACAAGTCGTTACTTTTTAGATGAAAGTAAAGGAACTGAACCGAATACATTGGCAGAATCAGCATGTCCTTAGTTCATCATTACTTAGTTCATCATTTAAAATTGTGTTTAATTATAAGCGAATCTTCAGGCATGTATCTGAAAGTTTATAATGATGATATTATCATTTGATGGTATAAATGATGTGTATGTTACTACATATATTTGTCTATTGTACGGTCAAAATTTGGTTATTTTTCCAATCAGTTATTACCTTCTTCCTCTAAGTGCCATAGGCATTAAATCTGCCGATGCATAAATTTTTGAATGAAACTAAAAAAAACATAAAAGTAATAAAACAGATGGGATCAATTTAGCTGCATAGGTGCAAGCAATAGCGGATGGAAAGTGCGGGTGGAGGCGAAGGCGGCTTCCGCTTCGAATCGACTCGCACCGCCTTCAGAATAACAAACGAAACCTGATTTCTATCGACTGGGCTCAATGATTACACCGCCTACTCTACCATGAGAACACATTTTTCCGTAATGATTCAAGATATGATTATTATTAGCACAGAATTTTAAGGAGAAATTGTACATCCACTGAAAGTAATTATTGATACAATTACTACAATAAAATTGATAGACTCGGACAATTGAATCAAGGAGAGTTAAAATACTTACTTCTTATAAGCTATAGAAATACAACAATGATAAACAAGTGCCGCGTTCAGAGAAAATCGTGTTCTTATTAATCCCATTGTCTAGATAAGGATCCAGAGGGTTAGTTGACTGTTCCATGAATTGGTTCCATCGTCCAACTTGGCAATGATATCGTTTTCACTACGACGTAAAGGTAGGTACCTATTTAAGCCACCCATTGTCACCGCTATTGTTCTTCCATGATGGGCATCGATTTTTGTTACTCATGAATTCAGTGAGGTGCTGCTTTTTGCAATCATTGGAATTGCTGAGTTCACAAACAAAAGAAATAATATTGAGTTAATATGAAGCATGTATGAGCTTGCAACATGTAAGAAATATAATAGTTTTATATATTTGGATATCCCATACGCGTATAAGATATTGTTTTGTCTAGTTCGTGAGAACATTGATTTTTTCCCTGTGAAAGGAACCCTATGTCCTTTTCTCTACCCCTGGCAAAGTCTATGCAAAATTTTATAATGATTTGGTAAGTAGTTAAGACGTAAAAGTGTAACAAACCACACCTTCTCATGGATATAATATAACCTCACACATCTCACACACGGCCGTCTAACCCCAAACTAGGTAGAGCCTGTACTATGGTGACCACACTGCTGATAAACAAACTTATATATTTCTAAATACATATCTACATATTATAGATAACTAACACAATGTTGATCTTGCTCATCACACAATGATTTGTCCTGTGTGGGCATCGAATCCACGACCTCTGATATCAAAGTCAGACTAGTGATAAAAGGCGAAAAACCGTTTTGATTTATAGTTGAAAAACTTGAGAGCAAGAATTATTTGTAATAATTTTCAGAATTTTGTTGGTCCGATACTTTCTTTAAATGACTTTCTTCGGCTACAATGTGTTGGCGGAGCAACACGTGTAACAATAGAACTTAAGGCGATGTACAAACTCAGGTAGAGAAAGATTTTTTGTAAAGCCATAGCCATTCTTTCGTCCCAACCATTCAACATCGGTGACTACTCTTTTGTTCTAATTTGGTTAATATTTATATCCATAAGCAAGTTCCCACTTTCGCAGATGAATGGTTTTTGTTTATTCATAATAATTATATCGTAGATTTTTTTTTAATGAATTGCTTTATGTCTCTAAATGGTCAAAAAGTGAATGGGAACGTTATTAGCTGGTAGATTTTTATAAGATAGAATACAAATTCTTATGTTGAAGTTTTGTAAACTGGAAAATGCATCGTATGCCACTTTTATAGTCCTATAGAAACGATATGGGAAAAAAAAAAAATTATTTGAAGAATTCCCTAAAGAATAACACTAGTCAAATTGTCGAATATTAATACGCTGTTTGATATAAAACTAGTACTGTATTCAATGGTGATAGGTAGGTAGTATGTTATGTGTGACATCCGTGGCGGTGTGGCGCTGCGTTATCGCTTGTCCTTGACACAGAGACGCGGCGTGCACAACACGCCTTATTGTCGCTGCAACCTTGCGAAAATTACCGCTGCGATAACAGATGCCGTCGTCGTCGCCGACGACGCGTCTCTCGAACACGCGCTTACCAAAATATAGTAGTGAATGGAAATGTTACGTGCCCATGAATTTCAAAACATCGTTAATCTGAAATAGAATGCAAATGATGTTTGCCTCTGTCTAAATAAAAATACTGTGGGCACTGGTGGTTGGGCATACTGACTTTCGCTTGTTGTGTGATGTAATGGTGCATTGCGTCTCATTGAAATTGGGCTTCTTATTTTTGTGTAAAAGCGTTATGCAGTTGCCGGGCAAATGTGGGTGGTATCCCGGTGGTACGACTCTCGTCAACCGGAAACCCAATTCCCGGATGCGGCTGCGCGGGGGGATCTCGCCGGAAGCTTGGTAAACGAGCACATCCGCTGCTGCCGCCCGCGCCGCAAAATTTGGCACCGCGAGCGCTCGCAGCCCGCTTCCGGCCTCCGTCCCCCGGACCCCTAACGTCGCTCTCGCCCGCGAAAATAGCGGCCAACCGCTCCGTGTACGCGGTTCATTCAGTATGGCCGCCTTCCATTCATAAAAAGGCGAGGCGCAGGCGGTGTGTTGCGCGGTGAGGGGAGGGCGGCCTCTCCCGCCGACCCGCACCCGCGGCCGACGCCAGTGCGGAATGTGCCAGCAAACGGAACGGTCGTTTCGTCGGAGCGTAGCCCTAACGCTCCCGGTTTTCCATTAAAATGTGTATAAGAATAAGTGCAGTGAATCCGCACGAGTTCGGAACGGTTACAAAAAACGCCGTCGTCGAGATTAGGAGTAGAAACCAACGAAGAACTTCAGCGAGGAAGTGAGTAGCGGCCATATTGCAGTGATAACCGCGCGGCGGGCGGACGAGAATCGAGGCCGGTGCGTGGGCCGCCCCCCGCCCGCGCCAGGTGCCGCTCCGGACCGCGCCGGTCTCATGAACCTTCCCGTGGATTTGCGCGGCCGAAATCCGGTGGTTCTGCCGTATTTTTGAGTGTCAGTGTATCTTCCGGCGCGGTTTCGGTGCGGTACGATCATTTGTCCGCCAAGCGATAAGTTGCTTAAGTGATGAGTGTTGGGCCACTTGGTCCCAGTGTCCTTGTGTGTGGAGCGATGTGTGTAGGAGACGTGTGACCGTGGAATGTCTGCTTCGTAAGTACATTAGTCGTCTCGACGTGGGACTTCTCGCCCACCGGTCAAAACCCGACTATTTGCTCGGTTTTAAAACGCGCGCGTCACAAGTAGCTTTCTGGTCGTAGATCACGAATTTATGTGTAGGTTGTAATTATATGAATTGAGAACAAATCGAGCTAACATGAATGATCAGTGGCGACGCTCCGCTTCGCCGCCTGGCGACCGGCACACGTGCAGCGATCAGCGCTAATAGCGAGAACGTTCTCAACAAACGAGTTAATAACGATGCTTTCATTTATTGTATGATTCAAACCTATTTATACGACGTTTGTAATTTATACTGTACAAAAAATAGCATAGTACTACAAACTTACCTAAATAGTATGAATGCAACTCCCGTTTCAGAATCGTTTTCTTGTAAGTCGAAAAACAAGTATCTCATTATGCACAATAATAAAATTAAAAACAGCAAAGCACTTTTAATGTATAATAGCGTTATTATAGCAACAGTGAACGAATTTCGACGGAGTTGATAACTGTGAACACAGATAAAGAATGAATTGTAAACAATAGGGACATAAAGTGTTAATATCTTGTAACGAACTCTGCAGATAAGGAGTATATTTAGACAAAACAAATAAGAATGTTTTAATAAATGTAACGGATAGTTAAACGTATGTTATTTTTTGCAATACTCGCAATTACACAAAATTGACAAAATATAAATAATAGAAACTGCTTCCGTTCTTTTTTCGTTTTTAACCGACTTTAAAAAAGGAGGAGGTTCTATGTTCCATTGAATGTATGTTTTGGGACTTTACTGCTCATTTGTTATTATTTCCATCAAATAATGTATAGGTCAGGTGTAAGGCTCGCACCTATTAACTGATATTGGACACGTTTAATCCAAGAATTCAACACAAAATAACTTTCTGCTATTTTATGAATTATAAGGTCTATATTGTAAGCTTTTAGGTTAAGACCTAGTCTTAATATAGAAGGAAAACCTTATTTAATTATGAAATCGTTTATGCAATTAACTCAATTGGCTACTGATAAAGGTTACTGTGTGTAATTGTGTTTGGAAGATATGCTGACTGTGTGTGTTGGAGGCATTTAGATAAAATGCCGCCAAACTTCGGAATTACAAACCGTAATGATGACACCACGTGTTACCTAAATAATTGACATTTATCATAAAAACATTTCAGAATTCATTCACTAACATTTAACTAATACAGCGATTTCTGTCTCTTAAATCACACATACAAAAATAAGGTTTTAAAACGAAGTTCTAATAACTTAGTTCAGGTTTTCTGTTATTTTCTATTCAATTCAACTCTATAACGGTAACACAGAATATACCTTATAAAAATAGACCTAAAATGAAAACTATAGTCGTCTAACCAGTAATTGAGTAACGGTACAGAATAAATATGTTTAAATAATTGGCAGAATCCGAAATAGGTGTGAAAGCTGTAGCAAGGCATTAAAAGAAGTGACGGATAAAATAGGATATAAATAACTCAAAAAGCATGAATACAGGTGTTTTATTACCTAACATCATCATCAACAGCCTTTAATAGTCCTAGTCGGACTATTATTACCTAAATATGAAGAATATCATAAAAAGTTGTGCTCGACTCGACTGCGTATAGGAATAGTCAAGAGAAAAAGCGTGCAATACCGAATACACTTTTAAAACAAAACAGGTTTAACCAGTCAGTATTTGGTACCTGTCTACATTTTTTTTAATGAGAAATAATATACACTCAATTCTTATTATCTTATGACGGATGTCGATAAAGCCCCGAACAGAGTTACGTTAAAATACTGTTTATTTTAATAGCATCATCAGCCATTAAAATATTGAGAAAATAAAACGAAATAGGACTTAGGTTTATGTAATAGACTTTTTTACACTCATAACTTAACAGTACAATGTTAAAAAAAGACATTTTTTTTTTGTTTATTGTAAATGAGTCAGAAGAAGAGTTAGCTAGGAAGTTAATTTGAGTTAGTACCTAAATAATTTAAAGAAAAATTCTGGTCGTAGTATCGTACGGCATGCGGCGGTGATATGTCCAGTAACCTTGTCATTACATTCGTTTGTAATAGGTTATACTGACAAGTATTAAATAAAATTCCTAAGGCTTCTCTAAAACATTTAATTAATATTACAATATGTTGTAATCATGCTATTTAGTAAGCCTGCATTTTACTGCATCAACACATAATACGGTATTTGACTGTCAGGTCAAATAAGTTTCTCTTTAATAGACGTCAAAACGTTAACGTTATTTAGAAGTGAATTATGTTATTATACCTAATTATGGCTAAATCAGAACTTAATATATTAGGTTTAATAGTTAAAACTTAAGAAGAAAATTGAAAACAGTACCGAATATAAAATTTACAAGCTTTGTTCATACTTTCCTTCCTGAGGATTGAAAAAACAATATTTTAACTATAGAAAACTACCTTTTTATATTACGTACCCACGGTAAACGTTCATCGTACAAAACTCAAAAAATGTCGTGTAATAAAGATATGTGATGATGCCACGACAAGGTTCCAGTTCCATAGGCAGACGAAAACCAAAAAATTCAAGGTATCGGTACCTCTTTAGAACGTTGAAATTGAAAAGATATTACACAAGAAAATAACTCGGCCAGGTTTCACTTCCTTTTATTGGTTTTGATGTAATGAATGGTGACGAAAGTGAGAACGTATAATGATTTTATTATTGCTAATGTGTTCCGTGTGTTGGTTTATTTAATGATAATGATTATTTATTTGCAGGTGGGGACGATGAGGGAACAGGAAGGCGACGGCCCGGAGAGCCGTTAGCCGTACTCGATGGATGAGTATGGCGGGCCGGCGGCGCCGCCCCGGCCGCCCAAGCCGGCGGCGCGCGTCCACAGGCCGACGGGCGCGCGCCAGCCCACCGTGTCACTGCTGCGGCCCCGGCCCGAGGCCGAGCGCGAGCGCAACGCCTACGTGGAGGCGCCGCGAAGAGCTCACGCTGCCGCACCGGTGCCTTCGGCTGCGCACCAGCCCCTTAAGCCGGTGACGACGCAGCCGGCCGCCGCGGCCGACAAGCGGCGCGCCGGCGCCTTACCGGCCGACTCGATCGTGTGCGAAACCTGTGGACGCTGCCGCTGCGAGCAGTGCGCCCGCCCGAGGCCACTGCCCTCGCGTTGGCTGTGCGGCTCGTGCCTGTGCAGCGCCGAGGCCTGTGTCGACTACGCATCGTGCATGTGTTGCGTGAAAGCGCTGTTCTACCACTGCGGGAGCGGCGAGGAGGAAGCGGGCGAGCCGTGCGCGTGCGAGCCGCGGCTGGCGTGCGTCGGCGCGCTGGCGGTGCCGCTGCCGTGCCTGTGGCTGTACTGGCCGCTGCGGGGTTGTGCGGCGGCGGGGCAGGCCCTGTACGCGCGCTGCCGCCGGTCCGGCTGCCGCTGCCCGGAGCCTCCGCCGCGGCTCTCCAGTATTATCTAGTCCCGCCGCGCGCCGCCCGCGCACTCCGAAGCGCCGAGTCGAACGGCGCGACCGCCTTGTACAAATATTTATTTGCGAGCGAAGAGCTTCGGACCGCGCGGGGGTGGACTCAGTGATCGCTGTGCCTGATCCGTGTGGTGTGTGGTGGCGCGGGGCCGGCGTCGGACGAGAGCCCCGCGTCCACTGAGTGAATCGTCTACGAGTACCTTGTAAATATAGTCGTATAGTGTGAATGTACGTGAACGTGTCGCCCGAACGTCGAAAGTCTCAAATTTTCTTGAGACCGTAACGTGTCATAAGAAAACGTTAACGTTAGTATTTTGGATTCCACACAAATCCAGAGAAGATTAAGAAATGAGATATAAAACATACTTATTAAGATGTAGATAATTTACCATTTATTTATTAACTGAATTTGTATTTATTTGTAAATAAAACAACAACATTATATTATAAATACGAATGTTTACTACATTATGTTTGTTTTTTTCTATTCCTTTAATTTCTTCAACTGCTGGTAGTTGTACTTTTAATATGCAAGAAAATAATTAATTATAAGCTGAACATACATGTATATATTACTATTTTATCTTGATGTTTCTTTGAGGTGATTTGATCACCAAACAAGACAAAATTAATGTAAAAATAAATAACCCGACAGAGGGCACCAAACTGTGCTCAAAAACATGCAATGCTCCCCTGTCACTTCATGCTTTTTACTGTATACTTGTACATAATATAACAGAATTGATATATATATTTACAAAGGCATGGGTATATTTACATATTTGTAAGACAAAAATAAATATACCATGATGAGACTGACCCAGGTGTATATTTTATTAGGATATAAGTTCTCCTAAACTAAAGATAAAATAAGGGATAAAAGGCTTTCGGAACAATACCGAGTTATAATAATAAAACATGTGAGCAGAAGCGGATAATCATTTAACAGAAGAAATATATATGACAAACTCGTTTGCACACACCAGTACACACAGAAATTAACTTAGTTTTATTAGACACAGAATAATTTTGCGTTAGAGTTACATGCTGCGTCACAATTCAGCTTTTCGTATGTAATGTCTAATTGTTTTTTTTTTTTCAATAGCAATATGGTCAATGTGACTTTGATAACGACTTCAAATAATAACTGCCCAAAATTAACTGAAATTGCGCGACATCTGTCTTGAATACAAAAATAAAAAAAAAAATTTTTAATTCAAGACGGATGAAAAACAGACAGATAAAACAAATTATTATCTTAGTAAAATGTCATTTTAGTAAATAAAAGTCAAAGGCGCGGTATTTTTAAAAATTAAGAACACATTTTTAAAATGGAAGAATTAAATGTAAAACACGGATAATATGCCATAATTAATTAAATATTTTAAGAGGTATACATTTCTTTGTGTAGTTTAATAATATGGCTTTTAATTCTATAAATATTGAAGTAATTCTTGTTTTGTCGCCTAGCTTCTGTTATCGTTATATGTATCATATTATGCACACTTATTTTAACAGCATTAATATTACAGATAATACAAATTCATGTGATAGGTCCAGCTTTAACAAATTAACCCTTTGAGCAATTAGACGGTATAAGAATTGATGTAATAAAAACAACATAAAATGTGCTCCTACCTCGTTTTCTTATTCTTTTTAATGAGTATAAGGTATACATACATAGAGTAATGCAGAGAAACTGATACTAGCATTATGTTGACAACACTCGGGCCTACCTTCTAAAAATTATAACTTTTATATGAAGCTTTTCCAGTAATTTGACACAAAAATCTAATAATGACAGAAAATGTGTTAGGTTTCCTTTAAAAAAAACAGTAATTTGCTTACCCTTTATCAGAGTGTGTAAATACTAGAATTACCTACTTAAGAGAAATACTTAAGGCATAAAATAATCAGTAATATTTATTATCTACTCATCGAAAGGACAGATATGCTTTAAAGGATGTGACGACTCGGCTCGGCGTCAGTCGTGGCATCACAGCGGTGTGCTTTGTCGCGCCTGTTTCCTTTACCGTCAGCGTCACCATCCGGGATGCACCGAGCACGCCTCTTATTAGACTGCTTCCTTCTACCCTCACGTACAGAATCAATAAAAAACACAGACAGATAAGTTAACGAACATTTTTCTATGTAAAGAATTATAATATTTGTAAAACCAGTATTCATACCGGTTTTTGTTAATTTCTAATCGTAATTAAATGAAAATAAAGCCTAGACGTTCCCAATTCATCGAAATGTTTTTAAGAATACTTAATAACTAATCAATTCCTAATCGATGTATTGGGAATATTTTCGTGACGTTTGAAAGTCCTACATATAAATTTGGAAAGAAGTATATGGTAGGAACCAATAAAAGCATCTGCTATCATGATTTAAGTGTATTAAAGTCGGTAGGAACTCCTTTACAAAAAACGTCTTATGACAAACTCATCACAAATACATGGTTTACAACTGCACACCTAATTACTACTTTACTCAACAGTGTAATTGATTCCACTACAATAATATGTGCCAGCATGGCCTGAATTGTTCCCCTGCTGCTAATTTAACACGTTACTAGTGCGTACGCGGGCTACTGTAGATCGTTTTAAATTGGAACAACAGATGTTGACAGGCTGTCGACAACGCTTGATGGCCGGATGAGGCCTGGCTATGTGATTAAAGAATTGGTTATTGCACGTAATTGTAAAAAGGGTTTTAAAGTTATTTTAGTTTATTATGTGTTTTATAAAATCAAATAAGATTCTGAAAACAAAATTTAAATAGGTATGTATTCAGGTATATTATATTAATCGGGCAGGTTGCAAATGTCTCTCATTGGATGAAAATCAATGATGTGACAGTACCCAAAAAATCTAATATTTTGGATTTATTTTCAGTGCCGACTAAAGCAGAATTTTTCGTATATTTACCTTTTTAATACCTATACCTGGCTATGTGCAATTAAAAATTAGTTAAATTTTCCATATAGATGAAAACTGTTCATACTAATATATTGTTAAACATATTGCTATTGAAAACATATTTTAGTGAACTTTTCTCATATTTTGTTCTTAAAATCTCACATATATTCTTATATTTATAATTCATGTGGAAATACTTGTAAAATTTGAATCCCCCGGTCCTTGACTATTTTTTTTTCTCATTTATCAACATTGATATTCTCAAGTCAAAATATCATACTTTTAATGGACGTACCCGTATGTTACAGGTGAACAATTAATAAAAAATATCTAAAATACGTCGGACTTGATGTGGCTCGTTTGACCTCTGATACCGAGGAGATGGATCATTCGTGCCATTGTGAGGTTGATTTGTAACCACGGCAGCCATTTGTGGTACGTACTGGTTGTGATGTAGCCTTTGTACATGGCTATCGTTATTTCACTGTCAAATTATGCTAGTTATCGAGCGCATTCCTTGACCTGTGGCCTGTGACGCATCATACACTACCACTTGAATTTCTTTTGTGTTGGTTTATTGTTGTGCGTGCTATCCAATTTTATGCAGGTAGATACTCTTTTAACTAGGTTTCTTATCTATGCCTATTGCTTTTATACACTTGTGTATGTTAAAGTTATGGCTAGCTTTGTACACTAAGCTATTTATAAGGCAGGTATATTAAAAATACGGCTGGTGTACTGACATAAGAAATCCATATAAAGAATATAATGGGCCGAAGCCGACAGCTTTCGATCATTGGCTGAACATTCCGATCCAGTGACACACGCTATTGTGTTTTCTAACGTTAAAATATTCCTTATAAACGACAGGTTTAGAAATTAACAATTGAAATGTTTATACTCGCATTTGTAAGATTATCAAACAATGAAGAGGAGGTACGTCGTGGACTTGTGTGGCAACTTTGATTGTAATCATTGGTATTTTATACGCACCTATAAATGTATTGAAATACAATACATACTGACTAGCCTTTTTATTGTCGTTGTCAATGGTAACCAGAAATGATTATTTCTGGAAAATAGTTTTGTTTAAATGTTAGATAATATAGGGACACAAAATACATAGACAAATGGCGCGTGGCGCGTAGCTGGCACGAACGCGGGCAGGTCATCGCGCAGGAAGTTGCGGCGCTTCAAACGAGCTACACTCTGCCAACGGACAGATAACAACTGTTGGGTAATGGGTAATCAGTACGAGCAGCGACCACTCACAGTTCTTATACTATCTCATCTTTGCAGAAATTACTAGATGTAACAAACGTTTAAAATTATTAGACTATCGTTTGGTACACACGCTTAACATGCACTTCAAATTTATTAGTTAGGAAATATTGTTTTTATTTTATTTAGTCATAGTACGAATTCATTCAACGTAAAAAAAGGGCTGCATTAGTTCTTCATTACAAAGGATGTTACTGCTTGTTGATATTATTAACAGACAAGCCGTCGAATTTCTGACAGTAAAATGTTCCCTACTGATTTTATGAATTCAAAGGGACTTTATTCTTTTCCCATTTAAGATTCCTGACGTCAAGCGGGCACATAAACAGTGTCTGCTCAACGAAACCATAAATCGATTCATTCATATACCTACGACGTTTCGCTTCATCAATCAATCGTCTATAAATAAAAGATCGAGACACGAAGGAAGCGGCTTCCACTTCGAGTACTGACGTCAAGTCAAATGGACGAGATGCTTTTTATTCATCACACCAAAATATTATCGGTGTTAATATTAAAATTCATCGTTAACAGCCTTTAATAGTCCACTGCTGGACGTAGCCCTCTCCGCTAGAAAAGGAGGCTTTAGACTACTAAGTTTACCACGCTGGCCAGACGGGTTGGTATGTCTTTGCAGTGCTGTTGTCCTTCGTAATACGCTCCCTTAGTCGACTCTTACGACATCCACGTCATGAACAGGGGTGGTGACACTCCTTATTCTTAATCCGTCACTACATGGATCAAAATTCATAAATAAGCGTAATTGCTTTGCTAAGGAATTAATGGAAT